AAAATAAAAAATTTATATCTTTATGTTTGAAGCCTGAAATGTGGCAAAAGGTTGAAAAGTTCAAGGGGGCCGAATACTTTCGCAAGGCACTGTATTTTAGAAGATAATTCAAGATTAGTAAGGGTACACCCTTTCCAGGTAGAGATTGCCATTGTGACTGTGGGGGGCTAGGGTGCATAGGGTTTTAATAAGGATGTGGAGTGTTAACATTAAATGTGATATAGTACTCTCTAGCTCTTTCATTGACTTCATGATACATTATTTTCTACTTAGTCTACTTAGAAAAAGCTGCCATTTCAAGTTAATTTCTTGTTGACAGTAGTTGAAAACAATGATGAAAGACTGACAGCGAATCTGATTTTAGTTCATAAAATAAATGAGGGTTCTGCAAGAGTAAAAGCTAGAACACAGTGGTGTCCCTCATAGCAGGATTGGAAAGCTCAGATCTGCTCCATTGGGAACCTGTTTTAGAACTGAATGAAATATTCCTTATCTTGTCCATTACCCAATTAAGTCTCTATGGCAGTAACACTACAAAATTCCTGAAAAACAATTCAAGTCTCTCGTGCAGTTATAAAACAAGCTTGACGCATGGTGTTGTGTTCTGTTTCTTTTTAAACAGTAAAAGGTCTCAAGAATAAAGTACATGTTTAAACTATAAATAATTTCCTTTATTCTTACTCAGTGTGAGGGGCAGTAAATACTATTCCAGCAGTATATTGTTGGAATGGGGAGCTGCGTCAGTTTGTGTTTTCTGCAAAGATACAGGTAGAGGTTAATTCCACTAGGAAAAAAAGAAGAAGCTCAACATTTGTCACAACTGAAGAAGACTGTAGAGCTGAAATTTGTTTCTCTTTTCTGTTTCTCAACATGAAAAAAACAATTGAACTGGGGCAATAGAAGAATGCATCTTCAACTATTAGGCGGAACATATATTTTCTCATCCAATATCTTAGTTGTCTTCCAGTTATCTTCATGAACGATAAATAATCTCATTTTTTGTCAATAAGAGGCAATACAGGTTTTGCTAAGTGACAGACCCCACCTTTAAACAAGGTGGCTACAGGGATCTGTGCTAAAAACTGACCCCCATGTGAAAATGTGGAATTAACCACCACCAAAACTCTAATTCATCATAACCCTGCAAATAGTCTGTTTGCAACTAATAGGGCAGGTTGTCTATTAAACCGCTCCATTGGTAAAAAAAACAAACTGCCACAGATATTTTAAAGAGATGTGTCTCTTTACCTTATGTAGTTATCAGTGAAGCACATGTTTTCTTGTTTGTTTCGGTTTTCTTGCTTTGATGAACAGAATTCCAACCTGACACAGTAGGCATGGATGTTGCAATCAATGCACAGCCCAGTGTCCAGCTGTGATTGTACACTTGTACAGTAACTGCATACAAAGCCAGCAGCAAGCTGATCTGCATTGACTTCTCAGTGTTGTACCCAGTGCAGCCTATCTGATCTGTTGCTATATAAAAGCTAGTATTTATGAAATAATCAGAGCAGTGGATATTGCCACCCGACCTGCACCGCGTGCTGATTCAAAAAATACAAAAATACCTTTGTCTTTTTGTTATTTCTTAATATGCAGGAATCTATGGGAAAGAGTGCTGATGGGAAGGGATATGTAATAACTGGAACCTGGAGCCCCAATATTCCTGCCTTTCAAGTGCTAAATGAGGAGACCCCAAAAGGTAAATTGTTGTTTTGATCTGTTTTAACTAAAGAATGCATTCTGTTATCTTTCCCAGAAAGCCGGGGATGCTACTATTTCAGTAGTTTGTTGGCACATCTTTAAATGATTGCTTTTTAATTTTGAAAAGTACAGATCCAGCCATTTAAAGTGCGAGGGATGCTGCGGTAAATCACAAGGCATGTACAGATGCAGCTATTCAAAACAGGGTATGCTATGGTACAACGCGGTGGGCGTGTCGCATCAAAATGCGGTATGACACGGGCGTTGTGCCGGAAATTACCGTATGCAAATTTGATTATGTTAATAGTATCCAGGATCAACTTGTAAAACCGCCAGGAGGAGCTAATAAAGCTTAACCTCTCATGTACAGCATTTGAGATTTTAGATTTAAACTGTGTATTACAGCATGTTAATCATCATTCATTAAAAAGTTGGTATATTTTATGAAACCAAGATCATTTGGGCAAAAGTACACAACCTACCTTTATCATAAATATTTTAATTATGCAGAAATATTTTATACATCAAAGCCTTTACCGAAGATATAAATAATAGTATTAATAATGAATGACCTTGGACAAACTGTAAACTCAAAGTATTACATTGGTCCACATTCTTTGTAACTCTCATTTTAAACAAAAAGACTATTTTTTCATTGACAAAAAGTAACACCACAGCATTTTGTTGATCTAACTAACAAAGACAGGTCATCAACTAGCCAATATGATAAAGGAATAAATGACTTTTTTAATTTTTTAGCACATTTATTTGAACATTTCCATCGGTTGTACAAGCACTGAAAAACTCTTCAATCCCTAGTTCGTCAGGCATTTTCTTTTACTATAACAGACATAAAAACTCCCTTGCTTTTAACAGAGCGTTTCATAATTTCTAAGAATGAAAATGATTTATACCATGCGACACTTATCATTCAACGAGAGCTCAAAATATCACAAGGATCCTCAAGAGCGCAACAAAGACAGCAGAAAAGATATGTGTATCAGATACATTAGAATCCAAGCTTTTTTATCTACAGTTTCTTATCTACGCTAAGGAGTAGTCTTTAAAATTTCTTTATCACACAGTAAAAAGTCAAAATTCTGAGTTGTATATATACGAGAGAATATGGCACGGCTTCAGAAGGGTGTCAGCCAATCAGATTTCAGGACCGGAATGATCTGTTTTATAATCAGGAATATAATATGGAATCACGTATCTAAAGAAAGTAATAATGATATTAATTTAAGAATCTAAATATCTAAATCTATGTATCTATATAGTTGGTAGTATTACTGTATTCCACTTTCTTTGTAAACACGTTTTGTTAACCCCTGAATCACAGGGGGATTCTGTTTTTTGTTATGGTCTGTAGCTCAAATCCTGCTTAACTAAAAATTAGACACAAGAAGAGTATTATTGGACAATGTTGTGAGGCTCTGGTGGAATTTCTTTGTAAACTGAAGAGTTATAGAGGAGACATGTTGTGTATCGCCTCTTTTTACACTTGTAAAAAAACATTCCAATATTAATGCTACACGGAAGATATTATTAATAATGTTGCGCTTTCGGGCTTCTGGTCTATTGGTCGTTAGTGAAAAGATTTAATAATTTTATCTCTTTACTGTGCACATTTTAATCCCCTCAGTATTGAATATTTATATGGCATTTTACCACTAAAGGGAAATTAGTAGCTGAGCATGAAAAGCAGAGGAGCATAACACATCTGAAGGTCATATACTATATTAATTTAGGAACATAAACATATTATGTAAACTGTATGTTGCTGGTATTGGTATTTTAAAGAAAAAATACAAACAAATATTCCATTTCTCCCTAAACATTTTAAGCATCAAAGTCTTACATGTGGTTATTTAGAAATGTTTTTACGTGCTCCTTCTGACCATATTACTGTATGTGTGTTGCTGTTTCAGTGCATGTTACATGACTTGCCTTGGTGGTGTGACGGCTTAAGTGACTGATTTACAGTATAGGCGTGAGGTCGGGTGTTTAAATCCAGCAATCGCTATGAATTTTCTTTTAACAAATAAACATTTATTTGAAAAACTAAAATAGCAAATATTATGGACACTACAGTATATTGACATTTTTTATATTTCAAAATATCACAACATGTTCGTACTGCAAGTACACAGCAGTACCACAGGTTATACTCTAGGGCGCAAATCCATGTGAGCCCGAAAGCCCTACATTAATGTGCATTCGCCTGTCGCTGTGCGGTTTTCATCACTCTCTGCGGGAGTGCTGGCTGTGCCGAATTAAACCGGCTTCATAGGTATTTTCAAAGTAGAAGGGGGCGAGTCTTCCAACGAAAGACACCTCCTCCCAAGGACACATGTTTTCTTAGAAAAACAGATTCACAGCGCGAAGCAGTCTTCTGTGTAAACAAAATCAGTTTGAACACCACTGGTGCTGTTTTTAATAAGCTGCTGAGTAAAAGCATAGGAATCTTGCTGTCAGCAGTATTGTGTATATAAAATTAAAAAAAAACTTGCAGCTTACTCAAAGATTCTAAAATGATCACGAGGAAGTGTATTGCATGTCTAATGGTCTAACAAAAACTACAGTATGCTTAAGAGTTGTTAAACCAGTTTTTATTTTTAAGCACAGACAACTTTTCCTGCTAGAGTGCCACAAATCACACTCAACCACATCACAGATCACAGATCAGTCCCAGTGTATGAGATATTGCTGTTTGATCTTTGATCTGAGCTTTAATAGAGAGCTTATCTCTATTAATATAACTATCGAGTGGTATTTAATGCAGCTTTTTAGTATACATGACACTTTTCTAAAATGTATTTAAAAAATAAAAACAACTACAATCTAATCTTTCCATGTTTGATCCCAAGATCCCAAGAAAAATAAATCTAAACGGGGAGAAAGCTATGCTGAAAGTTTATTAAGATACTCAGAAGACAAAGATAACGATTTATGTTGCATTTAATTTAACACTTGTTTGCAATTTAAATAAAAATGGGGGTAAAGGGGACTCTCTCTCTCTTATTATCAACACTTGTTCAATTGTGGTTCTTTTGGTTTCACGGAGGGCTTCCTAGATACTGTAGTTGGGCATTCAAGTAGATTGCCAGACAAAATAAAAACAAGTTTCGATAGTTAATAACCACTTTTTATGCGTGAAACACGGTGATTTTTCTTCCTTCTGATCAGTTTAGAAATCTGTGTACTCTGGAAGGTTTTTACTTCTTAATTAAACGTTTAAAATACACGTTTCGAATAGAAAAAATCATATTCTGTCGTCTTCCTGGTATGTAGAACAGATCAGCAGGTCTTTTTTCCCCATATAAAGGGGTGTCAGCCAATCATCATTCTGAAGCCGCGCCATAATCTCTGGTCCAGAATTTTGACTTTTTACTGTGTGATAAAGAAATTTTAAAGACTACTTCTTAGCGTAGATAAGAAAGTGTAGGTATAAAGCTTGGATTCTCATGTATCTGATACAAGTATCTTTTTATGCAGTCTTTGTTGCGCTTTTGAGGATCCTTGTGATATTTTGAGATCTCGTTGAATGATAACTGTCGCGGTTAAAAGCAAGGGAGATTAAGTCTGAGTTTTCTACGGCGTTATTGGAAACCCAATTTTAACAACAAATCGCCGGTGTTATATCCTAGAAGACACAGACCAGCATGCCCGGAGCGTAAAAGAAAATGCCTGACGAACTAGGGATTGGATAGTTTCCAAGTGCTTGTACAAATGATGGAAATGTTCAAATGAACGTGCTAAAGAAATAAACAAAAAAAGTCATTTATTCCTTTATCATATTGGCTAGCTAATGTCCTCTCTTTGCTAGTTACTTGTGGCTGTGTTTCTGCGTTGCGTAGCAACGAGGGACTATATTCTCAGGTGGAGGAACGTAAACAGCATTCTATACAGCAATCGCATATTTGGGGACTGTTTCAAAAAACTTTGATGCTTAAAATGTTTAGGGAGAAATGGAAAACTGGTGTGTATTTTTTCTTTAAACTACCAAAACCAGACACATACAATACAGTTTACATACAGTTAATATGTTTATGTTCATAAATTAATATAGTTTATGACCTTCAGATGCCTTCTTTTTATGCTCAGCTACTAACATTTCCCTTTAGTTGTAAAATTCCATATAAATATGCAATATTAAGTGGATTAAAATGTGCACAGTAAAGACATGAAATTATTAAATTTTCCCATGAACGACCAATGCACCACGAGTGCCCCTGTCGGTCATTTTGGCCAGCCAATCACGTACTGCGGTATGATGCGCTATGACGCGCTATGACGTAGGGAAATGCCCACGGTATGGGTTTGTACCGCGCACTTTGAATGGCTGCATCTGTAGCGTGCTTTGCACATTTTGAATGGCTGGATCTGTACTGTATATATTACGTCTTAGACCATACGGCTTTAAAGCCACTGCAGTACAGTATGTGTAAAACATTTTTCATAAGCTAAATGTAAACTAAAATTGTTTCCTGGTTACTTGTTGCTGAAATTTGCATTAAGATAAAATATACATTTCCTACACTAAGATAATATTGAAAATATTGCATGGCACTGTTACAGACCTGTACGATTAAAAATGTACCTGGCTATTCTTAGAAGCACACTAGCAAATAAGGCCAGCCGTTAAATATCTAGCACTGACTGGTATTTTGATCGAATTTAACTTTACATTTTGGTTATGTAAAATATGTTTCAGAACTGCAGATGTAGTCTAAGTGTAAAGGATAAAATGCATGCACCCACTAGAAACACCAGCATTAATTCATACATTAGAAATTCAAGAGATGTTTATCTCAGAACTGGCCAGAAAAATCTAGACTACAATCACACTTGTAAATAAAAATATCTGGCACTGACTGGTATTTTGATTTGTGTGGTAGATCAAAGGTCAGATATCCGAATGACAAGCATAAAGGTCTTTTTTTAAATACTCTCTGAGAGTGAAGAAGAAGAAAGAAAAATGTGTTTGAATAGCGCTTGCATGTGAGGAGAGCAAAGAGAAAATTTTTAAAAAATGTGCTGTGCTGTGCAAGCAAGGAAGAATAAGGTTCTCTGAGGAGTGGAGAAGGTCTCCTTGGCTGTAAAACTCTTGGTGAGGTTATTACTGAGCACCGTGAGCTGTGTGAGGAATTCTTATAGCTGAGCTCAAATCGGTCTCAGCTGCAGCCGCTAATGTAGGAAGCACATTTTCATGGGGCTGTGGAAGGGTAGAAAAGAGCGGAGCTTTTGAGAAAACAATTATGCTCCACTGTGCCACAGTGATGCAGCTGCCTACTCAAATTTCTTATATATGCTGTGTCATATAAATGACATAAATGAGTCCTGAGGGAGAGGAGTCAGTCTGTCTGAACGGTTGTAAAGTCAGTCCTTTTATACAGTGTAACAAACAAAGTTTGGTATAGACAACACGTAACGCAGTATCCTTAACAAATGTTAACACACAATGTTCTTGAGCTGGGTTAAGGTACAAACCATTCTATATATGGTAAGTTTTAGAGCACAGCTTCAGAAAAGAGGATATGTGGCCAACGTTTTATAAGGCATTGTGCTTATGTTATTCTTAGTCATGCTGAAACAGCACATATCCTTGTGATGCTTGCAGGGGCCTTAAGGTGAAAAGTTTAATTTGTTGCCGAAAAGCAAGAAAGATTAAAGAAGAGTAGTTTAACATTTCTTAATTCCTCATATATATCTTTCTCACATTAAAGACCTACCTTGCTGTCCATTGTAAATCGAGATGGCCTCTTGGATCATAAATCTGGCGAGCGAGCACCAGCAGAACATGTCTGTTGAAACACACCACTGACTAATCGGGATACAGTGTTATGCGCCTATAACTGGGGTCTTCCATTAGGAAGGGACTCTAGAAAGCTTCATCATCTTGTGAATATTTGGGCTCAAATTGATCATTGAGATATTTTTCCGATTAAGTATAATATTTCTGTTGGATTAAAAGAGACATTTTCACAAGCCTGCTTGTTTACAGTGTGCTAGAGCTGCAACAAGTCACTGGGTGTTTTGTTGTTTCGATGTTGATTGTTTTTAACCCCAAAATAAAAAAATAGATAAGATATCACTTTATTAGCCATATACAATTTCTTGCATTAGGAATTCGTCTTTTTGCATACCCGATCTTGCTCTCCATGAGACACAAAGACACACAGACAGGGAGAGAGCCTGGGGTCAGAGCACAGGGTCTGCCATTGTACGGCGCCCCTGGAGCAGCTGGGGTTAGGGCCTTGCTCAGGGGCCCAGCAAAGTAGGATTCCTCTACCAGCTGCGGGATTTGAACTGGGAACCTTCCAGCCACAGGCACAGATCCTTAGGTACAGAGCCACTGCACCTCACCGCACCACCCCAAAATAGCATTGCAGTTCCCCTTTAACATCTGAAGAATGGCTCCTCTTACAAGACTATTACGAGTTTCCCTGGTCACCATTCTTATGCTTTAGGTTGGAAATTGTGGTCCAAAGGAAAGAGTGTCTACAAGAACCACTTACAGCAGTAACATGGTTTTCTTAGTGTCTCCCATCCTACTACTTAAAAGCCAGCCTGGCTTAACTTGAGAGATCTGAGGTAGTCAGGTTTGAAGGTGGTAGAGCTGTAACTCCTGCATCTTTTCCCCACTTTCTCTCTATCAAACAAACAAAATGTGCCAAATGACCACCTTTCATTTGCTGCCTTTCTTCTGTTCTAACATTCTTTAATGTGTAACAGTCAATCATAAAAGTATATTTTAAACATCTAAAAGGACTGGGGTGAGGGTTGTTCTTCTCAGTTTTGCACCATTTGGCCATAACAAGGTTAAAGCCTGAATGCTAGAAAATGTTGGAAAATCGTTCTGTTAATGTACAGATCTGCAGATTCTGGCAGTGGGTGTGTCACTCATGGTTTGGTGCTTCAGTCCAAATGCTACCTACTGCTCTACTAATTGCTGTGACAGAAGGCAATTATCATCATGCTGTGAAGAGATTTTTGAAATTTAAGAAATTGAAAGCATCACTGGATAGTGGTTTCAAGGAGTCTGACGGAACTACAGATAGATCTAACACTTAGGCACAGATAATCAAAAAAGTCATAAGAAACGTAGCATATAAAAGTTACATGGCTTTAAAGAAAGAGGAATTTTAATCAATCAATTTCAACTGTAGTGGTGTGTTTGTAATCTCCCGACAGAATGACGGCCTACATATTAATTTAAATTAATATTCGATGAACAATACTTGGATCACTGATAGCTCAATTAGACTGAAGCTGTTGTAGGGTTTTATTCTTGATATGCTGTTTCACATGACACAATTTCTTTAATCTAGCATTCAATATAGAGTCAATGAAAAACATGCTTATAGTTTATTCCTTAATATCAGGATTACCATAAAAGTCCAGTGTTCACATCCACCCCAAGCTCACCTGAAATATGCAATATCTTAGCATGTGTTTTGTCAATTAATTTGGACACCTGGTACAGGTGGTTACTAGCGTTTCATTTTGTGAATTTTGGATTGCAAATTATTTCTAGGTCACAAATTACTGCAAATCAAAACAAGACAGTGGTGTCGGGAAGGTGTGGATAATACCAAGTACTATTGTACTCACAGTGGCGTATGCTGATCTGAGTCAGGTTCCTGCATGTTTAAATACTTTGTTGCTTGGTGTTTTGCAGTGGTGGAATTGTGATGTAAGTGTCTCTCTCTGTGCTGTTTCTGTGCTGCAGACAAACAGGTATACATGACAGTTGCAGTGGACCTGGTAGTCACAGAAGTTGTGGAGCCAGTCCGTTTCCTCCTGGAGACCTTGGTGCGTGTCTACCCAGCTAATGAAAGGTTCTGGTACTTCAGCAGGAAAACATTCACTGAGACCTTCTGCCTTAAACTCAAACAGGTAAAAACTAAACTTCAGGCAAAAAACTTAATGCAGGCAAATTGAAACATTTTTTAACCCACATGATCACAAGGTGACCAAGACGCATTCCACAGTTAAATGTAAGTCCTTCATCCTTTTAGAGTTGTTGAATCATAGACTCAATTCAGGTTTCATCAGAGAAAAAGAATCTATATGTATCCTGTATGCATACAGGAGCACCACCAGCAGAACTGCACAGTGAAGCTCAAAGTAACAAAGGCAGTTTTCCAGGTTATATACAGTGCAGTAAGCAAGATAGGAAACCATTAACATCAGTGTTGCCAAACGAACAAACCTACTAAGCGGCAGTTCAAAAGACAGGAAAGTAGTAATAAAGGGGGTGGTGTCACATACCAAGGAGCCTGGGTGTATGTCCAGAACACAGAGCGTGCTTGGTAGTTAATATGTTACTTTTATAATCTCCTATGATTCTTGACTGAAAAATTAATCCCTGATTCCTCAGTATTCTTGACCGAAAACTAACACTTTGGACTAAAAATTAACCCTCTGATATATTTGTCCACTTGGAATGGTATCCTAACTTCTAAATTTTAAAACACTAACAAAATAATATTTTTTGCTGTACAGTAGGTTTTGCGTATGTTCTGTAGCACAAAGAGTTGCCAGCAGCCATATCAACCTGCAACTAACAACTGTTAACAACAACTGCCATATAAACTATATAAATAGGTTATATATATATATTCATAATTAATACATAGTAATTCCATATTAATACATCACTGTAGCCTCTGTACTGTATATCACTCTGTATATCAATTTCTATAACCATATCACTCTGCAACTAACAACTGGCAACCCACTGAAGCTAAGCAGATGTGAGCCTGGTCAGTACCTGGATGAGAGACCTCCTGGGAAAAAATAAGGTTGCTGCTAGAAGAGGTTTTAGTGGGACCAGCACCAACACCTAATGCCCCAGTATAGTGACGGGGACACTGTCCTGTAAACAGGTTCCGTCCTTCGGATGAGACGTAAAACGGAGGTCCTGACTCTCTGTGGTCATTGAAAATCACAGGGCATTTCTTGAAAAGAGTAGGGGTGTAACCCCGGCGTCCTGGCCAAATTTCCCATTGGCCCTTACCAATCATGGCCTCCTAATAATCCCCATCTATGAATTGGGCTTCATTACTCTGCTCAACTTCCCACTGATAGCTGATGTGTGGTGAGAGTTCTGGTGGATGGATGCTACACATTGAGTGGAGTGTCCAGACAAGTGCTACATAAGTGTAAGCAATAATTATTACAATTATAATATTCTGGGTGCAGTGTTAGTTGGTATTGCTCTGGTTTTGCTGGCTTCACAGGTCAGCTCCAGCTCCAGCCTGGCTCCAGGTTACCCTGCTTCAGGATCCAACTATAATTTGAGCTGCATTACAAAACCATTGAAAAATAATCAACTATTTGACTTTTTGATTTTGAATAAACTGGAAAAAGTCCACAATGTGAACTGGACTTAAAGTGTGTAGTAAATGTTTTGTAAACAGAGTCTCTGAGAATTGCTTTTTGAATTAAAATAAGTAGAATGTACACTCATACCCGGTTTCCAAACCTAATTCTTTCCTGAAAAATCTGTTCAGAACGCAGGAGATCATAAATTAAAATAAAAAATTCCATTATTTCTTATGGGAAAAATATCCCCCAATATCAAGCTTAGTGAACAATGCAATTCTACTCAAATAAGCCAACTATAGCTGTGATATTTGGCCAGTTAAGAGGCCCTGGCCAAATGGTCAGTTTAAGATTATGCCCCCAGGGGGTTCCTTGCTGGCATCTGGAATCCTTATCAGTTAACCCCCTTTCCTGCCATAAACCCCTGTTGCTTAGAAGTCTTATTTTCAGGCAGAACTGGCTTATTAAGTTATTAACCCTTTTTACATCTTGTCTCTTACTTCATTCCCCCTTTTATTATAAAATATGGCATACGTCAGGACTGCCTATTTTTACACATACAATGTCAGGGCAGATCTTTCCTTTTTAGATGTACAGACATGCATTACCATGACATTGTGCGTTCCACGGTTACAACAAGATGTTATTGATGTTTTTGTACAAGGGATAGTTACATTTATACACATAAAACAATCCTAATCCTACAAATACATAAAGTCCTACCCCAGGACCCAAACGCAGACCTCAGCCATGTGGAGATCTATTGTCAGGATCTTGGAATAGCAATATATTGCAATATAGCAATATAGCAATATTGACCCAACTCCGATTATAATTTTTTGGCTGATAGAT